TGCACCCCGCCACAGGTGGCGCCGTGCAGGGGCGCCGGCAGTGCGTCTCCGGCCGCGGTGTGCGCCGCGCCGTCCACGGGTCGGGCGCTCCTCGCGCGATTGAGGGCGAGGTCAGCCGAGGCCGGCCAGGGACGGGTGGAGTCCGGCGGCTCCCACGCGCCGGCCTGACCGACCCCGCCGTTTCAGATGACGCCGAGGCGGCTGACGTGCGCGCTGGCGCTGCTGGCGGTGGCGGCGGCGGCTCCGAGTCCGCCCGACGGCGGCTGGCGCTTACCGGACGCGGCCAGCGACGACGGCGGCGACAGCTGGCGGTTCCCCGACAAGGCGGAAGACGGCGCCGCCGATGACGGCGGAGAGCGGCAGGCGCGGCGAATCGCCGGCTCCGAGGCCGTGGGGCTCAACAGCGTGGCGCTGACGACGACCACGCCGAGGCCGACGCGGAAGAAGAAGCTGGTGACGCTGGCGCCGGTCGGCAACAGCATCCAGGACATCCTCTTCAACAACGGCTACCGAGACACGCCGGCCGACGCCGAGCCCGAGCCGAACAGCATCGACAACTACGACAACCTCGATGGGCTCGACCCTCACCACGTCTGGCTGCTCGACGACAACCTTCTCGTGCTCCGCGGCGGCCGCTTCGCCGACGGCTTCGTCGACACGAAGCCGATCGACGACTACCAGGCGCCGTACCGCGAACCCAAGTTCCCGCCGCCCGACTTCCTGGGCGACGGCGAGCTGCCGCCGGGCTTGTTCGGCATCGGGTTCGTCAGTAACAGCGGCCGGAGTGCGCCGCCCATCCCCGAGCTGGCCGGCCCCTACTCGCCGTACGCACCCTACGCGGAGGCTTACAAGAGCCGCGACGCCGACGCGCGCCGCCCGCCGCTCAGCAACGGCCACACCGGCTACCGGCTCGAGGTGCCGCGCGTGCGCCTGACGCTACCCACGCCCAGTCGCCGGCCGCACACCTACTCGGTGCGCACCAGCTACTCCAGCTCGTCGTCCATGTCGTCGACGTCCAGCACCAGCACCTCAGACAAATATCTGCCGCCGCCGCGCGACCAGGTCGAGCCCGACCCCCGCTGAGGGACGGGGAGCGGGTAACTGACCTGACCCGGCCTGACCGAGGGGCCGGCGCGTGATCTCAGCGCTCGACCTGTACGGCCCCGGCCGCGGGGGCGTCCGCTGCGGCGACGGCGCGGCGAGGCGCCGCCGGCGGGGGAGAACGCCAGCGTGCAAGCTGTATTGGCATTGTTATTGTTATTGTATATAGTTGTTACTCATCGGATGTGGACGCAAGTTGTTTTCTAATAAAACTATCGCCTTGAAATACGAGAAGTCTCTGCCATATGCTCTTGAGGCATCAGACACCAGACGAACGGCTAGCACGTTTGCAAATCCCGAGCTCTGTCGTGCTCAACACACCGTGCACACTAATACAGGTATAGATAATGGAATAAACATTTTATCAGATCGGTCTGACTGCATACAATGCAGCAACTTACGACGTACACCGATTTTGCAAATTTTAAAACCTGTTACGAGGTTGAGGGCTTTTAAATAACCGGTGCGCTTCCCAAGACAAAGCTAAGACAGATTTTGCTGGAGGCTGATCCGCAGCGCGTAGTTCGTGGTCAGTAGGATTCACGAGAAGCATGATGCAGTTCTGCTCTGGGAAGCACTCCATGCGGTTGGGTTTGGCCTTGCTGCCATGGGGAGTTCAAATGATATCTTTACGTGTCCTGGTTCAGCGAAAATGGCTCGTCGGAAAATACATGAGCCCTCCATTTAGCTCTTGTCCGCCCGCTCACCCGGGCACATGACTTCAGGCCTAAATCATTGGCCCCACCTGAAGGTCATTGTGATAACTGCGTTATAACGCTGGTAGAATTATGTGAGCTTCCCTGCAAAAGTAAAAATTATCACAAACAAGGTCGCCGGATCCCTAGCCCGACCATTTCAAGGTTCAGCGTAACTGGAAAGGACGCTTGCACTGTGCGCAAATTGGCTTGCAACTGGTTCTGAGCATTAATACACTCTGCCGGTTCGTCTCCTCTCTTGATAATGTTTTCATTATGCCTTCATATAATATAAATTTATTTAAATAATGATTCAACCCTTTCGCATAGAGATGAAAAATGGGAGGTAGATCGACTGTCACGTGATGGCAGATCCTTTTTTGTTTGTGCCCGTTGCATGGTGAGAGTCACTTTGCAAACGTTGTCTAGCTTCATGAAAACGTAATACTGACCCAGCTCACGTTACTGCCCTGCGCATTCAAAATCACTTTAGTTGTCGAATGTCGTCTAGTTGGTGCTGCCTGGACTGGCAAGGATGGCCATGGCCGGACATAAGTGCATCAGTTCTCAGTTAACACTGCAGACGTAAGATCTTCAGTATTCAGTGCATCTTGCCAAACCTTCTGCATACACCTGCTTATGCTAACCGATGTTTGTTGTCACGTCCATAACACTTTCTCCGAGATAAATGTTTAATTCGTCGCCACGTAAGTTCCGTAGACGGTGGGTGTCATCAGCTTGTTCACACTCACCATTATTGGATGAAAGCAGGCCAACGAAATCCCATCACTGTTGGCCTTGAGCTGTCCGAGCTGGCGCAGACCGTCCATTTACGAATTTATAGCTGTATTATTGTGTGCGTGACATCAACTAGCTTCCGTGTCATTTTCTTCGGCAGCTGGTTTCTCGTTTGGCGATCAGAAACAGTTCGCTGGTGCCGAAGGCTATGCAACAGAAAAACAAATTATTTAACATCACGCTCTTCAAACAGCACATAATATAAAGCCGGGTGTCAGTCCTTCCGCTTCCCTCCCCTGGGCAAAAGGGCATCACGGCAAGACGACAAACTGCTTATCTTGTTATGCGATTCGTAGTCGAATAGCACTGCTATGCTTCGTGGTGGATTTCAGTACTGTATCTGATTCAGCTGCAGTGGTCGTACATCCTTCGACATAACTATCAGCATGGCTCAAAACTTGTAGACCAAGTGTTGGGATGGAGTGGCAGTGACCTTCTGCACACCAGCGAGGGCGCGTGCTGTGTTCACGAATAAAGTTCTGCAGCTGTTCTGCCATTGTTGTAATATGACAGTTTGCAAGACAGGCAGGAATGTTTGCTGTTTCACATGAGGTAAGCGCAGCGCAACACACGCTTGCATTATCAGTAATCAAAAAACGTCATGACGGAGACACCACACCTAAATAAGCCTCAGCTCTAGCCTTTTATCGACCTGGCGCCATGGAATACATTCAGCACGGCAGCCATCTCTTGTCGCGGCAGGCGCTCGAGTAATGGTGCATAACTCGTGCACACACAACCTAGGTGCGTAGTATATGTGCTGACGAGGAAGCACTTTGGCTCCATGAAATATAAAACAAGTGAATTTTACGCCTTCGCCCAGCGAGAATGCTGTTTTAAAGGGCCACCTGGTCACCCTAGCTCAGCAATGTTAGCCATCGCTCGAAATTATCTCTAAAGCACACGTACGCAGCCTGTCGGCAGAAGGCGAACACTAAAAAACGATGATTCGTGTCTGGAGCAATTCACGTGCGATGCACACCTCCAAAACTAAATACATTATAAGTCTGCGAAGCACAAAAACGAAAACAGAAACGGGGTGAAAAATTAAGCTGAACGCCTCTTACCGTCTTGAAGCAGCGGATTCTAAACCAACGTGACGGGCAACACACCAACGATCGACAACTGGTGATTCATGAATGGGATTGGAGTCGGGTTATTATGCTTAGATATACCAGGAGGTACTGGTTAAAGGACGCTATAGCGCGAGTTTTGACAGTACTCGACGTTTTAAGCTGGGCTGATGATCGCGAGTTCCACTCGTGGTCATAGGTCTGCAGCTTGAAACGTTGAGTACTGCCAACCTCTATATAACCACAGCTTATATAGCCATTATAACGTCGCTTAAGCAGTGGCTTGATACCTCCTGGTGTACTGAGGGTTGAAAGAGCTCTTGAAAAGAGTTTTGATCTCATATGTCCGAAAAACCTGGAACAGGGGTCTTTTTTCTTATATTAAGTAATAGGACAGGACACGTAACGAAAAAGTGTTTCCACCCTCACGCCTCAATGGCTTTGGCATCCTGATGCGCGTCCTCAAGAGGCATACAACTTTCAAATGTAAGCCTGATCCCAGAGCAGCAATGTTTCGGTCAGGTCCAACCGGTTTTGATGGGTTGAACTTCAAAGTAGCGCAGCCATCGGCACACCTGTGCTTCACAGAAACGTCACATGTCATCAAGCTTACTTGCAAATCTAAAACAATGCAGCTCTACGTGACTTATATCGCATGGGAAGACAGCAGTCTTACCCGGCAATAGCAAAATTAGTGCAGACTATCAATCAAGAAAGGAACTATGTCCGATTGTGATTATTCTGTTCATCCGTATGCCACTAAAGCAAATTTATATCACCTGGATAAATTGAATTTACATTTAATGGAAATAGTTAAGAACAATCCAATTTAAACAAATAATGACAGACAATATGAATGTGATGCGTTTTGGTTGGCACCATTCTTCACTTGGTTGAATGGCGTGTATCCAGCTGATCCAATCTCATTTGGATCTGACATGAAAGGTAATTGTGGAGCATCTAGAATATTCCAAGCATCACTTGCAGCATCAACACGCATGCACTGAACATTTCCACGCGTCTTCAAATGCTATCATATCGCCAAACTGTAGGCGTACCGGCGCATTTTGCACGCGAACGACGTCAGTACCTACTTTGCTGACCAAAAGTGATCGTTTGCGGCATTTACGCAACACTAAGGCATCTTCAACGACGTCTGTTGCAGACGCACGGGAAACTTTTCTCGGCGCACTTGCGCGCTTCTGAGAAGCACGAACCTCGAAGGCCTGCTGCATGCACCGGTCGGCGCCAGATGACAGGGCCTCCGTGCTCAGGTCGGTAACACTAGTGTGCCATGCGCATAATGGAGACTGTGTCATCATGGGGTCGACCGCTAGCGGCAGCTGCCGCAGTCTGGACGATCCGTTAGTCAACATGCCAGGATAACGCTAAATGTCGCGCTGACAAACCAGGCCCCAATGACGTCATAGAGAGAACGCCAGTAGCAGAGGACGAATAACCTGGTACAAATCTCACTTAAATAGATACGCTAGCCGGCAGACCTGCCAAAAGCGCACCTGGTGCCGACAAAATTCACGTGGATCGTGTGCATGCTAACACCACCCGTCCAAAGCTTGCGGATGTGCTGGCGGCAGATCCAGGCTCATCTTGATCACTGTCCCTCAGTAAGGATAAAAGACGCGACCCGCAGCCAGTGCTCGCCACAATCCCAGCGGCAGGAACGCGGATGGCAGATGCTTCCCTGCCATAATCGCGGGAATGCAGTGGCGAAGAAACTTGCGTAGCACGGCTGAGCAGCCACTACCGCACTTGACTGCAGTGCAAGTGCTGACAAGGCAGATTGAAGGCGGTAACCTAGGGCGTTATTCTGCACGGACATAAAACGCCGAGAGCGACCTTACTGTGTTTGCTGCACTGTGACAGCGCTGCAACAAAGATGTTTAAAGCCGACAACAACAGCTTTGGTGTTTCACAGCACTGACCAAGCAGCAAATGCGCGTGTTGGGTTATTACACGTGGCGCCACCGGTCTGGGGCCGAATTAGTGCTCACGGGGACTTGTGACAACACACTGTGCCCCTAAACCCCAGGCCATCGGAGTATGCCTAAAAGTACAGCAGTTCCGTATGCCAGAGTGTAATCTGGTCCTAGACTATCAGAGGATGGCGAGCAAACCAGCAGGTGTTTCACAAGTCCTGTATGTCTCCCAATATGACGGAATGACATGACTCACGACCAAACCCGAAAGTCCACCAGTGACTTTGAGGGCGCTCCATTTCTAGCATGCACTGACAATTGCTTCTTAAAAAGAGTTCTTGGCTTCGATCGTATCTCAACAGGCAACAGGTTCAACAGGCAGCTCTCCTGTCGTGGCTCAGTGATACTGACCTCGAGATTCTGCCTGCGCGCTCCACGCGGACTGCCCTCTGAGCTTTGATACCAGGGAATGTTGCCGTCCTATATCTTAGACTCGGCGGGGGGGACATGACTTGGAAATGGGGACATGCATACCAACTGCTCAGAACATCCACGTAGACGATGTGCTCGATGTGCGCAGATGACAAGCTCGGGATCTGGGCGGTGAGGATCTCTGTGGACGTGTGAGTCAATATCTGTGTGGGTCTGTGTGAGCTGATGGCCGTGTGCCGCACGGTGGTGGTGATGACCCTGGGAAGCGCCGGGTGTCTCCAGATCGCTCTGAGGGCACTGGAAAGGACCGTCTGTATGTTACGGTACGCAGTGTTGGTCATTTTCGCCCCCTCCCGCTCTGGTCACGCTCTAGTTACGTTGGGCGTTCCCCCTCTCCTTCCCCTGGTTACGTTGTGTTAAGCGTAAAGACCCAAAGAGATAACGTCCATTTGGCCCTTTTTTTAAAGTGTTCCACATTTGTATGAAGTTTTGAACTGAAATGGCCATTTTCAGGATCATTTGGCGCAGTTCACAGCCCTGCCCTTCTTGGGATCTACATCCTTCAGTTTCTGAGCTGCACGCCCGCGAAGATGCGCAAACTTTTTCCAACTTTACCCAGGCATCCATTACTTCACCATGACGTCATTGGAATCCTGCCATTCCACTGGCCACGCGGCGTTCAAGGTCAGGAAAAATGTATTGTCGAGCCGTTCGCGTATGGCATTCGTGCGCACGATTTCTAGATATAACGGCCGTCAACTGGCTCCCAACCAGTGTTGTGCAAGCTATGCAAGATTTCGACACGATCGGTTATTTGGTTTAGGGCCCTTTCGGCCAGCAATGATCATTTCAGGGCTATAGAATGAAGGAAAATGGATGACAGTGGAGCAGGTCTACATGCGCCTGGGTGGCCAACGGCCGAGCTTTAGCTCGTGCAGGGAACCCTCTGCAGTGTATGCGCCGGGCCCCGGTCAGGGTCCCCTTCAGGGGGCCTCTCGGCCCACTCGTGGCTGACGCACGCAGCCTGCTCCGGACAAGACTGCGCAAGGCTTGTTATCGAGTAACCGATAGCGATAGAGCGATATATAGCGAGCGATAGAACCGAGTGCGTGAATACAAGTAAGCATCTTAAGCCCACCGATCAATACGCAAAAGCATGACGAGAAAGGACACAACACGAGCACCTAACGATGCTTGGTTCAGTACACAGCCAGCACCGCCACGGGCCACCTCCCGGGGGATTGAAGAACTACAAGTGAGTGCTGGCATGCAAACGTTCCATGACCCAGTAAAAAAGTTGCGTATTGGGGAGAATATTTACTAAATAGAGAAATTGTGTTGTCTAGAGCAGACTTTTCCATTCAAAAGCGTATCAATAATTATAAATGAGCTTAGTTCATTGTATCTGATGCTTGCTTTAATATTTTCCTATGTGGAACAGTCGCTGTATTAAGCTAAAGGTGCGAAACAAAGACGGGACCGTCGCTTGCAGTGAGAGAAATTCGTCAACTAAAGCAAGCGGGTATCTTTGAGACACCAGAAGTGGGGTGTTCTGCCTCTTCCAGACAAGGGACGCGGGCAGTGTCGCACCCGTTACCAAGCCGGGTCATGTCACCAGGACAGCATGTCGAGTCGACACCACATGAAAGCGAGACGCCGCGAGGGCCGCCGCCCTCTGCCGTCGCCAGTAGAGGGAGCTGCTCTACGATAATGCCCCGAGCAGTCCGAGTGCGCGCCGGGCCATCTGACCGGCGCCGAACGCAAGGACCGAGGTCACTGGGGTCAATGAGGTCACAAGGGTCACTGAGGTCACTGGACTGAGATCACCATCACCGTGCGGGCGGCGCAGACGTACGCGGCAAGTGGACACCGAGAAGAGTCCTTGCGATCAAGGCTGGCGACAGCCGGCGGTCCGGGCCCGAGCAGCCGACTTTGACAGGGATAACGCGGCTCTGTGATAAGCCCTTGATAGTCCTTGCGACCAAGGCTGGCGACAGCCGGCGGTCCGGGCCCGAGCAGCCGACTTCGTCAGGGATAACGCAGCTCTGAGATAGGCACATAAGCGGCTTCATCCGTCATGGACGCGGTCCCAAGTATCGTCTGTGGTTCAGGTGACGGCCTGTTGCCCGCGCGGCCAGGATCACGACAGACAACTTCACAGACGTGAGGCCGCAGCGCAGTATGAAATAATGAGGGGGAGTGGTGCGGCCATTAGGGGATGACCTCAGCACGAGCAGCATGCAGCTTTTCAGATTGCTGCATCTTAACGCGGTCGGGTATCATGTGCATGCAAAAACACCCCTGCATACCCGCGTGACAGGCTGAGAGCATTATACAAATGTCGTGCCATCTATAGCACAAGCCCACATCGGGCTTCCTCCGACTACAGCTGCATGTAAGTACTCCTCACAGGGCTATTTGCTCATCAAACTCACAGGTAGCCTGGTGGATACGTGTATTGGAATTGTTCAGTCACTGTAGGCAACACCGAGATCAGGGCCATCGGCCGACGCTCATCCCCAACCAAAGCAGCCTGCCGCCGCCGCGTCCAGGGGCGCGCTCGCCGCACGAGTCAGGCCTCAGCTACCATTGCACCGGCGGTGACAGAGAACAACAGCTGAAGTGGAGGGGAAACCCCGTGCGATGACCAGAGGTGGTCCGGTCATCGGTCTGAGGGGCCTTGTCTGGGGAGGGAAGTGCAGCAGCCAACACGTCTGCCCCGTGACAGTACAGCGAAGCTCCCTAGCGCGACGAACATAGATACTTCGGATACGTGCACACAATAAATACATCACTGGCCGGACGCCACGCTGCCTTAAACTGCCGAGTATAGCACGCAGGTAGCCAGCCTTAAAGTCGACACTTCGAGCAATGTCACACGGCGTCATCACCACGGAATCCATAAGCCGGCGATGCCCCGTCAAAGCAAACAGATACAATCAATTATCCACCCAACGCCACGGTCGGAGTACGCAGCGCAAATTACACGCCATAAAACCCGCCTTTGCAATGTAACGCGATGCCGCCCACCGAAATCACATCCCTTGGAGCTGCGTCACAGAATGAAAGCCAGATCACAACGCAAGCGGAATCCACCCAGTCACGGCGCCGCGCTCCAGCCGACCAGCCCACACGAGCTGCCTGCGCCCGCGCCTTCGGACTGAATTCCGACCCTCGCTCACTGGCGACCGACTGACCGCCCGACCAGCCGGCCTGGATCGCACAGCCAGGTCGGAGGCGGCCGCGGTCCCCGTCACGCGCCTCAGTCCCGGCTCAGACGTCGTCGAAGATGCCGCCGCGGCCGGGCCGACCGCCGACGCCGGCGCGGCTGAAGCTGAAGCTGTCGTCGCCCACCTGACCGACGTCGCCGTCGTCGGCCGGGTCGCGCCACTCTTGGGCCGGCCGGCCGCCGCCCTGGGAACGGCGGGTCCGGCGAGCCGAGCAGCTCCAGCCGCGCCGACTCGGCCGACTCGGAGCGGGGCAGCAGGCCGCGCACTGCACGGAGGAGAAGCGCGGTCAGCGGCGCGGCGCGAGGGGTCAGCGGCCGACCCGGCGGCCGCGCGACGGACTGACGGGCCTCCAACAAGCGGCGGGAAGGCAGCGGACAGAAGGCAACAGGCAGCTGCGGCAAACTGAACTCACGTTCAATGAATTCAGAACAGACCCAACATACCGTGATTACAACATGTGTAGAAACGGCACTAATAAGTCATGTAGTTGCGGTTATACACACTATAACATCAAGCACGCTTGGCTAAACCCTGCCTAGACAACAGACAAGGACAGATCACTCCATCCCCTCCCTCCCTCCCTCGGACATCCCTCGCCGCACTCACGCCGCTCCTCTGCGCGCAGTTTGGCAGCGCGGTACGCCTCGCTGCCCCATCCGGCGGCCCTGCCGGCGGCGGCGGCCGGCGCGCGCTCGTCGCCGGCACGGCCCTGGCGCTGGCAGCGCCGGTGCTCGCGCCGCACCAGCTCGCGGCCCTCCTCCACCAGGTCGGTGGTGATCTCGTCCTGGCCGATGAACTGCTGGAAGCCGAGGAAGCTGAGCAGCCGCGCGCCCAGCGAGAGCCACGTGGCCAGGCAGAACGCCACCACGCACATCGGGAAGTAGATGTTGAAGCCGTCCGAGAGAATGGACAGCACGTCCATGTGACCCATGATCTGGAATGTTGGAGATTGGGGGGAGGGGGTGTTAGGCGATGCCGCTGTGACGGGTCAGGTGACATCGGCCGGGCGGCCAGCTGACACGATCACTGGTAGCATACACATGAGCAAATGCTTGCTGGCACGTCATCGAACACGATGCGTGTGCAGCACGGATGCAAAATATCCTCAGAATTACGCACGCGAGACCTGCTACTGCCAAAGAGCTCAAGCCTCTAAAATAACCCACAATCCAATCAGTAATGAGTGTACCTGACAGACCGCGCCAAGGACATCAGTGCCACGCCCAATGAAGTAAGTCACCACAACACACCACCGAGCTGCTCCGCGCCGTACCCAGGCGCGAGGCAGCAGCCCGTTGCCGCCCACCCGCGCCACACCTGTGTATAGGCCGTCTCGTCGACCCTGTCCTCGATGATGTGGCTGTCCATGTGTATCATGCCCAGGAAGTTCAGGCAGAGCGGCGGTGTGAGCCGACACAGCAGCCTTCGGGAGGGCGACCGGTTACGCATGTATCACGCCAGCGCAACACAGGCGTGCCATTCGCGGTTGAGCCGCGCGTCCAGGGAGGCTTCACTCCTTTCCGGTGCAGTGCGCATAGCGGTTTAACTGATTTGAGCAAATCTACTTGGCGACCACTGCAAAATTGTTTAGGATGCCTGCTCACCAACATTTACTTAGCTTCCTCATTCCCTGGGTCCAAGGTGACTAGACGGCACAACACGGAAAACAGTGCTCCTAGTTGCTCACATTCCCGAGAAGATGAGACTGTGCTGGTCCGTCTGGTGGTTGGGCGCGAGGTAATAGAAGTTCAGCACTCGGATCTTGAAGATGGTGTAGTAGGTGCACACGCAGAGGTACGCTATCGTTAGGCACGATACCGCCTGCAGAACACCAGAATAAGTCACCGCCCGAGCACATCACCAAAAATACAACAGCCATATTTTTTTCGTGCGTACTTACCAGGCTGGACACTTCTCATATTCCTCGACCTCCATGCCCGCCACGGCAAAATCAGAACACGGCTTCACATAGAAAAGCCAGGCATATGAGCGTCTGACACCTATGTACAACGCCAGGCTTCACAACATCAGCATCATTTTATGGAGCCCGCAACACACAAAACCCGAGTCAGGCGGCGGCAGCGGCGCCCCGCCGGCCTCCCAGCTCTCCCCCCAACTCACCTCGATGGCGAAGTAGTCGTAATTGGCCTTGGCCGCGTTGATGAACACGGCGAACAGCGAGAGCGTGGGACTCTTGTTGAAGAAAGTGAGCTCCGACCAGACCACCATGGCCGAGGTGAGGCCGCACACGACGGCCAGGCAGCGCAGGGCGTAGCCGCGCAGACGACACCTCCAGTACCACTCTGGCGTCGGAGCGAGCCGCCGTCAGGGGCGTGCTCTCTCTGTGGGGCACGCTGGCGGGGAGACTGCTCGCGGCGGCAACGGCAGCGGCTGATCGCCGCAGCCTACAGGATGGCGCGACTCCAGCGCACATCGCCGGATCGGGCTGGGAGTACTTCGTACTAGCACGGCCCACAGAGGGTCACAAGACCCATTCGGCAACCATTTTAGGGAGAACATCGATGTACCAGCTTACTGACGTTTTGCATATATCTCGCTCACTAATAAGATACATACCTATAGATATAGCTATATATATATATATATATATATATATATATATATATATATATATATATATATATGTATATATGCATACATGCATCAGAGTATGTATCTCGCTCAATCGCTTGTGTATATATTGATCTCCCCCACCCCTCCCTTCAAAGACCACAATCACACCGAGCGGGACAGCAGCACCAAGGCGCCCGTACTGATACCCCTCCCCCCCCCCCCTCCCACCAGCTGGAGCGTCAGCGTCAGTTAGCTGGCAGAGACGGAACTCCCCGAGCTGGGGTCCCTCGAGCACAGGCGGGACTCCCCGGGCCGGGGTCTCTCGAGCACAGGGGGGGGGGGGGGGGACTCACCGAGCCGGGGTCCCTCGAGCACAGACGGGACTCCCTGGGCCGGGGCCCCTCGAGCACAGGCGGGACTCACCGAGCCGGGGTCCCACGAGCACAGAGGTCCAGCTGGGCGGCCGCGGCAGGCTCGGCTTGAAGTAGCCGTCCCGGTGGCGCTGGTTCTCCGCCACGTCCTCCAGCTCTATCACCTGGCGGCGAGGGCGGCGGTCGGCCCGCGGTCCTGGCCACCCGAGTACACACCAACTGGTCCAGCGCAGTGGGCTTAAATGGAGTCGTCCGCCTTCATTTGATTAAGGTCAACAGAGCCAATGCTCCCGCACACCTGATTAGCGTTCCACTGCAGCGTTGGGAGTCGGCTGATTCGCACTATGCTTCCCTACTCCTTTGCTGCTGTTCGACTTCCCCTCCTTAACAGCGTGGCCATAGGGCCGTAATGCGTGCGGCCCGGCCTCACCTCTGCCACGAGCAGGCCCCAACTACGCCTCCGTGCGGTGGTGCTGCTGGAGCCTCACCTCTGCCACGAGCGGTCCCCACTGCGCCTCTGTGCGATGGTGCTGCTGGAGTCTCACCTCTGCCACGAGCAGGCCCCGCTGCGCCTCTGTGCGATGGTGATGCTGGAGTCTCACCTCTGCCACGAGCGGTCCCCACTGTGCCTCCGTGCGATGGTGCTGCTGGAGTCTCACCTCTGCCACGAGCAGGCCCCACTACGCCTCTGTGCGGTGGTGCTGCTGGAGCCTCACCTCTGCCACGAGCGGGCGCCACTGCGCCGCCGTGCGGTGGTGCTGCTGGAGCCTCACCTCTGCCACGAGCAGGCCCCACTGCGCCTCTGTGCGATGGTGCTGCTGGAGGGCGCGGATCACCTGCCGGTGCAGCGCCACCAGCGACTTCTGCGTGGGCACGGGCGCCGCGTCGCCGGCCCGCTGCCGTCGCCGCATGCGCTCCTGCAGCGGCGCCGGCACCTTGGACAGCACCGTGTCCACGCACGGCCGCAGCGGGTGGGCGGCGCTGATAGCTTCAGCGGCCAGCTGCAGCGACTGCCGGCCACCGAACGACTGCGGTTACAGGTGCGAAGAAGGATTGGCAATGTCGTGGGGCAGGAAAGGAGGAGACAAAGTCGGCCTGGACCGCAGTGCTGTGAGCGCAAGGAACGGGGCCGATTTAGTCAGATCACTCAGGCAGCCCGGACCCCGACATAGCTGGGGGCACAGAACGCCTAACAACTGACAACAATACATAGGACATTTCTCATTGCCAGTACAAGCTGAAACACTTGACTCAATACCTTTAAGGTTGCTCAGTGCAGCGCACATATAATGTGTATAAGTCAGACATGAGTCATGGAACAAGTGCTCATGGACTCCTTACAAAATTGTGTTGTAAAGCACTTGGGATATAACTCGATCTAACACATTCCCACGTATCACAAACAAAAACATGCATTCTAAATTGATATAATTTTACTCTTATAACAAACTCAATATCAACTAGCGGTATATGCCCAAACTTCAGCTGGGTGAGGAAGCGACCCGTTTGAGAGCCCATTGCTTCGCTACCCCCCCCCCCCCCCCCCCCCCCCCCCTATCACAACACCGTCGGCGCGAGAGCCCTCCCCGGGGAGCTGCTCACGTCCAGCACGTCATCGAGCGCCTCCTCGGCCTCCGAGCGCTCGGCGCTCAGCTTGGCCGCCCTGAAGTAGCCGTGGCGCAGGCTCCAGCCGCGCTGGGCGGCGTGCCAGAGCGCCCGAGGCACCTCCACCAGCGAGAAGCCGAGCAGCAGCACCAGCAGGAACAGGCCCCACGTGTTGCTGGCGGACGACGCGATCAGCTTGAGGTGCGGCCTGTCGACACGCACCACGTCCAGGCATTCACGCTGAACACTGGCTAAGTTGGACGGGACGTTTGGTTGGATTGTTACACTGTTAGGCCATTTTAATTCATTTTAAGACAAACCAGAACGATGTGACAATTGACTTTCGCACGCGGTGCATTTCTGGCAGAGCAGAACGATGGCTACGGGCGCGCGATACTTAAGTACGAATAGGAATTCTAATGAAACCCACATATTTAATACATATCAGTGGATTTCACTGGACAAAACAGCCCTGGACATTGCCACTGCCTGAAAATACATGCGCACATGGTTATCAAGTACTTTAGCGACTGGCCAGACAGCCAGCGACATTGACAAGAAGACAACAGGAGCGCAAGATCTTTTGCTAAAACATTGAAAACAGACAACCGAGCAGCATTTGCCACGCCATTCATCACACCAGCCTGCGCAGTTGTCGCCGCATCGACGCCAGAAGACAACAAGGCTGCGTAACGCCCCAGTCCCGGCCGCGGACGTCCTCGCCTAAGTCCACAGGCCGCCACTCACCAGTCCACGGAGACGCCGGGCTGCATGCTGATGTAGATAAGCAGCACGACCGCGATCACCAGGTACGAGCCGTAGTAGATGGCGTTATCCACGAGCGCCGTGCGCAGCTTGCCCTTGAAGTTGAAGTCGCCGGCCTGCGTGTACGACTGCGTGATCGGCATGATGAGCCACGTCAGCGCCTGCGACGTCCAGTAGACGATGCGCCACAGGTCGCGCATCACCTCGGCCGACACGTAACTCCACGGCAGCTCGCAGGGCGGCGCCACCGTCGGCGCGGCGGTCGGCGCAGTGGTCGGCACGACGGTCGGCGCGGCCGTGGTCGCGACGCTCGTGGCGTTCTCAGAGAGCAGCGTGCCGTTAGTGGGCATCACCGCGGAGGTCGGGGTCGTCGTGGTAGCCAGGGCCGCCTGGTGCTCACGCAAACACTGATTGTAGGCCGTCTGGAAAGTATACGACAATAGGTTAAGTAAAACGTTGTCAGAGGCAAGCAGGTGATGTAAATGTTGCGTAGTTTTAGCGTGGCTATTAAGTACATTGGAAACATAAGTTTTTTTTAATGTACAACAATTTCATCAAGAACTGCGCATAATGCAAGAGGAAGTCTGCAAAGCAGACCAATTCGGCTCTTCTTACCCGCGAAACATCCATCGGCAGGACGAAGATGATGATCAGCGAGAAGTACCAGGCGATCAGCACGGACACCGTGACGAAGACCTGGTGGTTTCGCCAGTCGCCGTAGCGGTACAGGATGGCGGCCGCTACACAGAACGTGGCGGCGATCTCCACGGCCAGAGGCCCCACCCCCATCGTGACGCGGAGAGCGCCACCGAACAGCGTTTAGGCTCCCCAACGCTCCGGCAGCGTGGCTGCGTTCCTCAATCCAGCGAGAGATGCACCGCACTCGGGCTTATTCGCACCTGACGCATAATCAACTAAATACTCTTCACGGAATGTGGTGACAATCTGCTGGCCTCTCGCGAGTCTACCGTCCTCACCAGCCCCCAACGGGCGTGACTAGGAGCCAGCTATTGGCCACTGGCTGCTGATGATTGCCTCGCCTGCTCGCGCAACTTCTGCTCAGCTTCCTTCTGCAACTGCTCCATCTTCTCCAGCGTGACAGACTTGAGCGGCAGCAGCTTTGGCTTGCACAGCACCATGCTCGGTGCATCCTGCGTGTGCAGCAGGCCCTGGCGTGGCAGCACCTCACGCACGTTGCTGCTGCCCTCTGCCATGGCTGGGACCCAAGTCAGCAGGCCGACATAGACTGGAACAGGGAGCGGGTGACTGACATGCACAGTCTCTTCCCCTGGTCAGACACTGCTTCCATGCTCCTGCCATAGCAGTCTTAACTGTTTAACTTCTAACTGTCTTACCTGTCTAGTCTACCATAGCTGTTACAAAAACCTGAATCGCCAAAGCACGAGGACCTATAGTTGATGTACAGTGTTGGAAAATGTGATGTTTCCTGGTGTAATGTATACCGGGAGATTTTGTACTCCAGGATTGTGACTAGGTAGAATGAAGTATTTTCTACTCTATCATGATGCAGCAAGAACAGCTTTTGGAAAAACTCATTTTACCTCTTTGTGTCAGGACACAAATAAAACCACAAGGCGCAATATCTTGAGACTTGCTGCCTCCATCAGGAGCCATGTACCGATATCTGCAAAAGCACAACTCTTGCACCCACCAGATTAAGATGCCCAATAGCAAGCAGCCTGTGTTGCCACCTAGGTATATGATAAACTGCGTATGGAAATGTGAAAAATAAAGCATGTGAATTTTGAATGGAATCGCCTTTGAACAATACCGGGAAATGAGAAACGAGCACCAGAATCGCACCGGTCTGTACATTAGCAAAGTTTTCACTTCCTAAGCCCTATGCAGACCAACTCAAACTTGAACATGACTTAACCTACCATTGGCGACGAACCGCATTAATTGCCAAGGATGCAAGGAACAATCATAGAAAACCGCACTCCCGATCACCTACCGCAGACGGCCTCCCACCCACGCGCCACCACTACGTCATGGCAATGCAGATAAGAGAATCCCTCGCAATTGAGCGTGGGAAACATCCCAACTATTCAGCGGCTTGCGCTCGCCTCCCAGCTCAGGTTGGAGATTGAACATAACAAAACTTTCCAATTGGTTTACATGATTCGCCTCCTCGTGACTGATTTGTCAAGAGCATGAATATTCTGCTCGCGCTCATGTCTTGAACAGATTTGTGAACATTTGGAGGCAAGCTGTCTAGAGATGGGCATCACGACTATGAAGGACTTATTTGTACTCATCCAGAACCATCATGTGGTTGGATTTTTGGCCACTTCCTGGTATCCGGAGTACAAAAATGCTACCGCAGCTGTGGATTTAAACCAAGTTACATTTGTCACTTAAGGATGTGAAATTTAAGCTGGTAGTTCAGGCTTTACAAAAGTACCCTTTTAAGTCGAAAAACGTTGCTACAAATAGTCAAAAAACTGTTCGGAGACAGCCATCTCACTCCGGCAAAAACACCAGGACACCAGAGTTACAAGAATCCATAACTTTGGCCCAGCAAATTAAGGAGAGGGGTTTATTAGGACGAAAACATCCATTACTTGCAACATAAATTATCATATCTCGCAAAGATAGCGGTGAAAGCGCATCAAAATCCATAAATATCTTCCATTATCCACCAGAGTCGGCGGAGTGACTGACTCCGATCCCTTTTGGCCGGCCTGCACGGGTCTGTCACGCATTATACTTGCGCTGGCTGGGTAAATCGGTTAAGAGTGCTGCCTGTCTCTATTATTCGGATGGGACGTGCATGGCCTCGTGTGTTGACCAGGAGTGGGAAGGTGGAGGGTATGAATGTTTAGCTATTTTAAAACCAGTTAGCTGGTGGAGCGTGAGTAGCATGATCGTGGTGGAGCATGAGTAGGTGGACGTCTGTGGCATGTTCATGTGCATTTTTTGTGTACCATTTCTGCCTGGCTGTGCGCATCGTACCCACCCTCCGTTTTGGAGGGCGTATAAGCCCCGTGTGTAGCCACCCTTAATTTTGGAGAGTGTGTAAGCCTGATGAGTAATTACCCTCCGTTTTGGAGGGTGTATGCACGGAGCCTTTCATAAATTGCAAACCAATGTATATGCACATGTGTTTCATAGTACAGAGTACGAGACTGTGTTGTTTCAGCATGCCACGTTTGATATTGATGTTTTCTTTCATTTAAAGTGCTTTTACATGAATTGCTATACATGAAAAGTGGCGCTTTTGTTGAGTGCCACCCATTGTACTATTAACTCTCAAAGATAACCTGAATAAAGCTGTAATGACCCACAGCACTTGGCTAATTTTGTGCTCTGCTATAGAAAATTTGTCCTCGGCTACCAGGAAATTGTTTTCTTCAAATTTCCAACACTGGTTGGCAAGCTATCAAATTGCTTTTAACACTAAATCTCTCCCCATGGCTCAGTGGGCTACAGCACCTGACTTCCAATCCACCGACCCGTTGCAGGTGGGTTTGAGTCACTTCAGGCTTTTGCTATTTGCCCTTGACAGTCATGGCCTGCAGCCGGTGGCAGCAGTCGCGCTTAAGGTCAGGTGACGTCAAAGGGTGTGACAGACCATGCTGAATATTTCTGCACATTAAAATTTAACCACTTCATTCTGCTGCTGCCTGGAATTGCGCGATGGCGTAGTAGAGGTCAGGGCTCACACAACAAGCACTCACAAGAGTGTGAGATCTGATCCCAGCTATCCATCCATTCAAAGGGTTTGGACCAAATCTTTAAAAAATGTTGTTCATAATTGTGATGTAACAGTGTCAACACAAAAGAGAGGTCTTTCTGTAGGAAACACAAAATGGTGCTTCCACTATGACAGATTATCACCAAGAAATCCATCACTGAGGCTGTGCAGCTATGATGTGGCCTTTTTCCTGAGTTAGTTCTTCCATCAGAAAATTAAAAATTTGATGTGACAGCACCAAGCATTTAATGGCTGATGGAAAGGTAGCAAGTCTGTCATGAATAGCTACTTCACCAGAATGGGCAGTGATAACCAGTGGGTGAGTGTGTAATTTGTCATGGTATGTATTCATGGTTTATAGCCTGTGGTAATGTATGGATCATTGCAATGTCTGTAAATGTTTGAGATATAGTTTGATACAGTTTGAGATATATCAGTAAATTTTATATATTATAAGCTTGTGGCAGATAAATTTATCTCCAAACATTCATACCATAGATGTGTAATCAGCATAGATGGAGAATGTCTCTGAAAGTAGAGGTACCAATACCAATGTAAAGTGATCATTTCCATGCATTGAAATAGGATTCATGCTAAGCGATCTCAGAAATTTAGGGTGCCATGGCACCCTTGGAACCCTTTTCCCTATGCCTATGATAATGAGTATGATTACATGGAAAGCACCTGGGATCCAAAGAGTATCTGGGAACCACATAAGTTCTCAGTTTACCTTCGCAACCATGGTGCCTAAATGCTTGCAGCATTTATCTAAAAGTGCATCACACCTTAATACCTGATGTTCAAACCATACATTTTTAACCAACACAAAGTTTAGCTGACCAAACCTTGCTGCAACAAAAATATCATATAGTTTATGCACATTGATGTTTTGGTTAAAGGCATTTGATAAAAGCTGATAGTGAAAGCTCAACCTTGCTAGCAAACTGATTGTTCAACAAATGTAGAAATATTCAAGTCAGATGCATACACAGCTTATGTTCTCTTAAAATTATATATATATATATATATATACATATATATATATATATATATAATAATAAGGTGCAACATAAGATATAAGACAAGCAGATAATGATAACAAAATGCATTTATATCAAAAGCACCAGCTCAATTACCATTCAGTTTCAGTCCCACTATTTGGTACTTGGGCATTGATCAAAGGTGGTAAATATTATATTATTGGTGCAGCATTTGTCATAATAACTACTCATAAAGCCATTCCACTTTTTCACCTGAGCATCAGTAATGAAATTGTCTTGTTCTGGTAGCTATGCTGAACACTTAAGCTAAGCTCTTCCAAGCACCACACAAATATTACAAAATAAAATATATCAAGCCAAGTATAATCAAGTCAAACTCATCACTGCACAACTTTTAATTTTTCAGTTGAGAGTGACAAAGCATAAATCATTGCACTTCTGAAAACACACCAGGTACCACCCTAGTCATGAAACATACCTGACGATTTTTACCACGGAGAAATCCTACAGGTAATAAGCACAGCTTGCCATGCTCACAATTCAGACATGCAGTCTCAAGCCTGCAGATAATTTGCCACTTGGAGTCAGGTTTATGAAAACGAGAAATTCGTATTAAAACATGCTTAACGGCAGCTGGATTAACCGGAGGAGGCTGGTATGGCAAACATTGGAATCACTTCAACAAATCATTGATTTAAAATGACCATTAAGCGACTGAAACGGCAAAATAACATGAAAATTAAATTGAAGGATTGTCTACGCACCTTTGCTTTAATGATCTGCTTACTTCAAGCTGCAAAAACGGGCCGCTCGACTGCCAGGGCCACGCACCACCCACCGCGCCGCCTGCCCCCCAACCTGATCTTTCAATGGGACAGCGCAGACCATTTCCCACCGACCCGTTTATTTGTCTCTAGTGCGCCGATTCGAAGTTTCCAGCAAAGTAGTGGTGGGAATGATGCCAGAATTTCAGTACTTGTCGATGTTTTGACTACGTCAAAGCCAGACATACCCAATATTGAGACAAACTGGCATGATGAGGTCCCGTGGAAAAAGATGATAAAATCTGGAGTCTGGACTTCTTCATGCAGCCAAGCATGGGCTTCTCCCTAAGCGGTCCTGTACCACCCAGCTGTTAGAGGTCATGGAGGATTGGAGCGCCGCGGTAGAGGATGGAGAGCCGGCGGACGTGGCGTATCTAGAGTTCAGCAAAGCCTTTGATTCTGTTCCCCATAACCGTCTGCCCTCCAAGCTTCGTGCTCACGGTGTGAGAGGTAATTTAC